CTCTCTCTCTCTCTCTCTCTCTCTCTCTCTCTCTCTCTCTCTCTCTCTCTCTCTCTCTCTCTCTCTCTCTCTCTCTCTCTCTCTCTCCTTTTGGAAAATTTGGACTGTGCAATGCAATGACCCATGCAGTATGCCTCGTTGACTGTCTAAGGGCCTTGCCAGGCCACCACTCGGTCTCAGGCCGAAAAGGAGAAAAGACCCCTACATGGATTCAGGGCCTGAGCGGGCGACAGTTGACCAAAGTCAACTGCCTGAGACCAAACAGTCAAAGTCAAAAGTGGACCCAGCCCAGGCCGCCGTCACACTGGTTTGTATGCAGGTACCCAGACAGCATCAGGACCAAGTGGAAGTCTGCAACTGTATACAATCCAGGCCCTCGGCTGTAAGTGGATCTGAACGACTGTGAGTGGGAGACCTGAGGCCTGCCTAGTCAAACACTACATAAGACTTGGCCTCCAGTCTTGCTATGCTGCCTTGATGCTGGCCTGACGCTGGCTGGACGTTGGCACTGTGGACGACGACGCGGGGCTGTGGTGACATGCTGGCGCCTTCTTTCCTGAACGCCAGCCTTGCTGATGTGGTGCATGCCACCTCTCTACCTTGCTGATGTGGTGCATGCCACCTGTCTACATTGCTGATGTGGCGCATGCCACCTGTCTTCATCGCTGACGTGGCACTGGTCTACATGGGGTGATTGGTCGCGACAAGGAGGGAGATCGGGATCTGTGGATGATTGAGGAATGGGATACTTACCTGAGGTTGACGCCGATATTGTGCGCTGCTGATTGTCTCCATTGTCTTCACGAGAGAACAGTGCCACGTGGCACTTCTATGTGATCAGGACTTGTCAGACTCGTTACTGGAAACTGTTTGATGACTTGGAGGCGAGGGGAAGCCCGGAGAAGGAGTGGGTACTGTTGGGCTACTCTCTTGGTGGTCATCGATTATCTCTTCCACCCCCTTATTTTTTTGTCTATTCCCCCTCCACTCTCTTCGTCTACTGGTAACGAGACATTGTATCAAAGGTCATATTCATGATTATTGGAGACATTGTCCAGATCTCAGCTGTCTTGCATTTCGACGTCTGACAAGTATCTTCCAGTATGGGTTCATTACAACTGCCCCTCAATTTGTGTTTATCATCTTGTGCAGGGGCCATACTAGTTTTCGCTGTATGATGCCTTTTTCTTTTTTTTTTGATGTAACAGATATCCAAAAGAACATCTTGGTCTTTGTTTTCTTACTTTTCCAAGCTGTGCAGCTTTTGTGTTTGCAACTGACGTTCTTCAAGGATTGCAGTGATGATAAAAAATGGTTGATACCTGTCCATGAGCTGACATGATGAGCTGCTGCTGACTGCAGAGGCTACGAAGGAGGACGCAGTAGCTGCTAAAGCAGTCCTGCGTCGAGTAAGAGCGTCATGGTCTCCCCAGATTGAAGAACTCAGAGCAATCATCGATGAGATGGAATCAGGTTAAGTGTCTTATCATCTATCCCTAACATATATGTGGTTGGATCACTCAGTGTTGACAGCTGGATATGGATCTATATACTTTTATAGTATATATCTGTGTCCCCCTCGGTCGGTTGATCCCAGCCCGCAGTCGGGATCTCAACCACGGCCGCGGCCCCTGCTGAATAAATGGGGAATGTTTTTTTTTTTTTTTTTTTTTTAAATGGGTTTCTCTGACTTTCTCAAACCCCACAACCCCATTTTTCTTTTTTTCCAAACCGCTGATTTTTCGGTATTTAAAAAATAGAAAACGAAAACTGTAAAAAAAAAAGATAAGAATAGTAGAATACACAAAAATGTGTGTGTGTGTGTGTGTGTGTGTGTGTGTGTGTGTGTGTGTGTGTGTTGGGGTGGGGTGGGGGGGGGGGGGGGGGGGGGGGGGGGCCCCCCCCCCCCCCAATCAATCAATCAGTCAATCGATCAAGATTCTTTTTTGTTTGTTTTTTTTGTTTTTGACGTCCCCCCTCCCCTCTTCCCCCCCCCCCCCGAAATTCGCTTCTTTATTATTACTTTTTTGTTTCTGCTTGGGGGCGGGGTTGGGGTTGCGCAACCTCAATCCGCCACCCCCACCCCCGCAACCCCCCCGCCTCGCCGCCACAGCGACCACGTGGTTGCGGCCTCGGCCACCCTCGAAATCATCACAGGTCTGCTCATGCACAGTCACAGAGGGTGTTACGATCCTGGTCATTCCCAAAGTGCAAATTCACAATGAAAGACACTGCCACCCAATTGCGAAAGGAATGAAAGCACTTGCAAAGAGATAGAGACCAGAGAAGAGAGAAAGAAGAAGAAGAAGAAGAAGAAGAAGAAGAAGAAGTACACCAGCGAGACCAATGACAAATCCCCCTTCTCTCTCCACCTTCCTCCTCCTCCTTAACTTCCCCAATCTTATTCCTCTTCCCAATAATAATAATAATAACAATGAGTGGATGAACCAGAATCAATATCCGAGGTTCCCTCTTACTGCTGACTCAACAACAATAACAAGTCCACCATCGCTATGGCTTCCCTCCTTCTTCCTCCTCTCACATGCATAGGCTATGGCGGACTACTGAGGGCCCTGCCCTCCTGTCCAAAGGACAACCCAAAGCAGTTTGGCGCTGCACTCCTGTCCAAAGGACAACCCAAAGCAGCTATGGGACTGCACTCCTGTCCAAAGGACAACCCAAAGCAGCTATGCCGCTGCTGACTAAGCGGCCATGCCTGACTCTGCCTCGAGCTTCCTTGGTGCGGCACTACCCCAACTAGGGCCTTCCAGATGCAGCGCCCAACAAGGTGATGAAGATGGTGTTCACCATAGCCAGGTAGGTGCCTCGCCACTCTCCTCCTTCGCCCCCTTCTTCCTCCTCCTCAGGCTGGGCTGCTCGCCATAGCCAGGCTGAGCACCCAGCTGCCCTTCACCTCCAGGCAGCGCTGTACCAGTCCAGCGCTTCGCTCAGCAGCATGTCGCCAATCCTTGCATACCGCAAATGAGGAGCTACTTGCTCCTCCGGAAGATATAGCGGCCTACTGGCCTCTTGGGCGGTGACTTCCTAGGCCGAGCGGCCTCCCAGCAACCGGTACCTCCTCTTTTTCGGAGGGAAACATCATTGCAGGCGCTGCTATCGTCCGGACAGGCCCTAGACCCAGGCTACTTGGACTGGTATCGGCCTACCTCTCTCCTACCGCTACTGGGCCTCTAAAATGCCAATCTTTTGTCTTCTTCTGCTCGGCCTCCAGTACCCGACACTCCTACCACTACTTGAGTGGTACCGGCCTACCTGCTACTTGAGTGTTTTTCCCCGCTGCTCTAAGCGTCGCGGGCCTACCCCCGCTACTTGAGTGTTTTCCCCGCTGCAACCCTCAAAGTCACGGCCACAGGTAAGTACCAGCCCTGCGGGGCCTTTCAACCAACAAGTACCCTTGCGGGTCACACACACACTCAGCCGACAAGCACTCAGTCAGGCATGCAAACCAGCAAGTGACACACACACACATAGACTTGGAAACCACAACAGAATGCGGGAATCTCAGCAAGGCATTCATTCCAGCGGCAAATCCCAGAAATCAGCAGTGTTCTCAGTCTGTATTTTTGGCTGGTCATTACAAGGGTTTCAATATAGGTGTTGTCAACCAAGTACAAAAAACTGTCTGTAGTGGTTTGCACATGGTTTTTACCCAATACCATCTCCCTCCTCTCTGTCTACCCCTCCCACGATGTTTCTCTTTCCTTCTTTTTCTCTCTCCTTTCTCTCTGCTTTTTTTCTCTCTCCTTCTTTCTCTCGCCCCTTCTTCCTCTATCCACTTTTTTCTCTCTCCTTTCCCTCTCCTCTTCTCTCCTTCCTTTCTGATTTCTCTCTGCTTAAGTCTCCCCCTCTTCCCTTCTCTCTCTCCTTCTTCCTCTCCTTCATTTCTCTCTCTGTTTTTCTTTCTCGCGTTTTTCCTCTCCTTCCTTCCTTTCTCCATCTTCCTCCCCTCCTTTGTCTTTCTCATCTTTCTTTCTTTCCTTTCCTTTCTTTCTTT